GGTTGCAGTGGGATCCCCAGCCCTGGCTGGGGTCGTGCAGGAGGCAACCAGTCATGTGTCTCTCGCTCATCAATGTTTCTCTCTCTCTCTCTCTCCCCCCTCCCTCCGCCTCTGTATGAAAATCAATGGGAAAATATCCTTGGGTGAGGATTAAAAAAAAAAAGGACAACTTCCGTATCCCCGCGATGGGATCTTGAACGTATGGGTCACCTCCTGGTGAGGGTCACGCCATGGAGCCCACCTGGTGCCGCGTCCCCCGCGGTGCACAGGACTGTGCAGGGACCTGCAGTGCCTGGTCACCCTCCTTCCTGAGAATTTGGAGCTCACGCACCAAACGGGAACCGGGGGTCTCCTGGGAGCCGGGGGGCTGAGCCCCGATAGGCACGCCCATCAGTGTGTAATGAAGACACCACCCGTCCGGGGTCAGGGTCTGCCTCCCCTGGCCGCCCAGACACACACAGAGCAGAGGGGATTGTTCTTGATCCAGAACAGCTCCAGGTGTCTCTCGACTCCGCTGACGCAGTGTCTCCGCCTGCACCCTCGTTCATCCTTGTGCACTGATATTCTGACCACAGAGGACCCGGGAACTCGAGGGTGCTCCTGCGTGGAACTGCCCCCTGGGCCATCGGGGAAGCTTAGACTCTGCTCTGAGCACCCCCTTCCTGCAGAAGCCCGTACCTGCCGCACGTCCGTCACTAACAGAACAGCCACGATGCACCCGCTGTCGGCAAACCTCCCTCCGGACAGCAGGAAGGACATCCAGCTCCAAGGCTCACTGGCACTAGGATTCTGTGCACCTGCGTGTTATTTCCTCGTCATCATCACGTTGCCCGGACCCCACTGCCCACATGTCTCCAGTCGGTTTTAAATGCCCTTAAAACCATCTCCCAAGAAATCCGTTAGCAGCCTGGAAAAGTCCGCTCTCCTCCCTGGTCTGCACGAACATGTTTGAAGGGGTCAAACGCAGATTTCTGTGTCGGCGGTGGCTTGGTCCCAGAGCACGGTTTGGCTTTGCACGCGGTCAGGGCGTCGCCGACCACGATGTCGACTCCCTAGTAATGAAACCCCCCGCGTCTCCCAGAGCCCAGCGTGTGGCTCGTGTGTGTGACAGTGTGCGACGCGCGTTTCGAGCGTGCGACCCCGGCTGCCGTTGTGCGCTGTCGCGGAAGGAGTAAGAAGCCGTCCCCTTCACGCGCGGTCACTTCCGATGGACGGTCCCGCGTGGAAATGGGGCGCCGCGGCGGGGCTGCCGGCGAAGACCCTGCGCTGAAACCTGTGTGTGCCCACGAACACCCGACAGTTAGGACGCTGGCCGGCGCGGCGGGAGGCACCTTGCGTGTGCAATGAGGCTCGGCGTGTGGCCACATCGTGACAGTCTTGATGTGAGGAGTCGCTCAGAACCAAAGCCAGGCGTCCGGGGCGGGGGGCGGGGGGGGGGGGACCACTGCAGAAACTCCTCTCTGCGTGACGGGCACCTGGATATGTCTTGTATTCTGCCCTGTTTCTGCATGAACCCCAGGCAGCACGGAGACCGGGGGCCTGGTATTAAAACGCAGGGTCTAGTATTTCTCAGTTCCGGAGGGATCCGCAGACGGGGCGCCGAGGGCCTTTGAAAAGCAACTTTACAGCTTCCGGGGGGACGGGTTATGCCATCTCGGGCCCCCCGCCCCCCCGGAAGGACTCGGGTTGGTCAGAAGGCAGGTGGAGAGGGGAGACATAGACAGGAGCTTTAATTGTGGTTCTTTTTTTTAAAAAATTGATTTTAGAGAGCCACACCGGCCGGGCTTCTTAAAAATGTTTCATTGTGGCCCGGCCGGTGTGGCTCAGGGGCTGAGCGTCGACCCTGCACCAGGCTCTTTTACTCTTGTTTAAAATCTGCCTTGTGGAGCTGACAGCGATGTCTCGGTCTCTTCTCTCCCACCTTGTGTTCCAAAGAGCACAGAACAAACCTTCTCGGTCTTTGCGCGGACACGGAGTCCGTCCGTAGAAGTGGGGTTATGTGTTCTTGGAAGATCTCGAGGAATGAGCTGAACCCCTCAGCCACACCCCCCTTCCCGGACGCCGTCCCCGCGTGGTTTCTCTCTCTCTTGCGCGTGTTGGTCGGAGGAGCCCTGATGTCCCCGATTGGATCGTACTCGTCGGCGTTTTCTCCGAGAAGCATTCGTTGCGTTGAGCTTTTCACACCCGAGAGGTACATTGAACACAGCATGGGGACCGAGAGACGCCGGAACCTGTAATTTTAAAATCTTCACGACGCAGACACATGCGTATTTTTAAATGTGCGTGGGCAGCCTGGTCAGGCGCAGGCTTGGCGGCTTTCTGGGCTCTGAGCCGTTTTGTTTTGAAGAAAAAGGAGCAGCAGGTGTAGTGGTGAGCACGGTGTCTTCCTGACTCCGTTCTGCGGTCGGCCTTCTTACTTCAATCCCCGTTTAGAAACGGTGCCATCCAAGTCGTGGCTGTTGTAAGTATCGCCGGGATGAACACACGGGGGCATAGATCGCTTTGCATTTGCATTTCGGGTTTCTTGGGGCCACTGCTCAAAAGGGGGTGCCGGGTCCTCAGGCAGCTCCGCTGTTAATATTGTGAGGACACGTCCACGGTGATGGACCAGGACCTGACTTGGGGGAGGCGAACACGCAGTCCAGGGTACACGTGACGTGTTGGGGAGTCGCACACCTGAAACCGGAATAATTTTGTTCACTGACGTCAACCTATACGTTCTATAAAAAAAAGAAGAAGAAAAAATGTTTTAAATAAACCTTTCCAAGTTAAAAAAGGAAAAGTGTATCATCCGCGTACAGAGTCTGAGTGTGGGCTCCCCCGGGGGGCCCCCATTCGGGTTTGATTCCTGACCACCTTAGGGGGGCTCTCAGCTCTTCGCCCAAGCAGCGCCCCCTCGTGGTGACCTGGGTCTCTTGATTCTGCTCCTGGACGACTGGTATACCTCCCACTTGCCCGGGTAGGTAGACTGCTCTCAAAAACACCTGTCTCCTTGCATTTCCAAAATTATCCGGACCAAAATGAAGGTGTCCTGGTGGCAGGCCCTCTGAAATAGAGAACCCCTGTCCCCTCTGACCACGCACAGCGTCGGGGTTGCAGCCTCTCCTTGCGTTTTGGGGGAATGCAGCCGCTGAGCCCCTAACCAGCAAGACTCACAGGGTCCTGTTCGAGGTCGCTCTGGGGCCGGTGTCTGGCGTCCGCCCCAGCGTGTTCCTGTTCTCTGGGACGGAGCCCTGCAGGGGTCCCATCGGCCGTGGGTGCCCAGCCCTCCCTGGCTGTACAGCTTGGTTTAGGGGGTGCAGTGGTTCAGGGGGTGCCGTGCAATGTCACCCTCTCTCCGCCATGTGCCTGTCCCGTCCTGTGCAGGCCGTGCCCGGTGGACGGCAATGCTGGGGTGGGGCCGGCGACCCTGAGCGGATGCCCAGGGCAGGTCTGGAGGGCAGAAGGGCAGCAAAGCCCTCTGGCCGCCTCGCCCAACCACCACCTTGAAGCGAACAGTGTCTTGTCTGTTATGAACCTTCCCTGTTCCCCCACAAAAAAAAAAAACACAAGAAAAAGCATCGTCTGCCTTTCCCGAAATCCCCAACATCGCTCTGATTGTGGAAGGAGCGTGTGTGGCCACGCTGTCATCCCGCCGTTAGCAGCATCTGCGAGGGCTTCCCCTTCCCCTGCGTGTCTGTGCGTGTTTCTGGGGGAACCAGAACGGCCTGGTGGGAACCCCCACCCACGTGGCACTGCGTTCCAGCACCACGCTTCCCGGTGAGCAAAAGCTCCCCCCGCATCTGTCACAGACGGGTGCTGTTGTGGGGAGAATGCGAATGAATTGCTTTAAAAAAAAAATGAATCTTAAAAACATGCAAAACAGAAGCGCCCTGTGTTGCTTTTTTCCCCTTAAAATCAGTGCCTTCGGCAAACACAAAATGACTGTCGATGTCTGTTCCTAAATACGTATCCAGGGACATGCCCGCCCCTCTCCACTGTATTTCTTTAAGGAAAATATGGACGGCCCGGCCCGTGTGGCTCAGTTGAGTGTCGGCCCTGCACCCAGAGGTCGTCGGTTCGATTCCCGGTCAGGGCACAGGCCCAGGTTGTGGGCCCGACGCCCAGTGGGGGGCGTGCAGGAGGCGGCCCGTCGATGTTCTCTCTCATCCATGTTTCCATCTCTCTCTCCCTCTCCCTTCCGCTCTCTCTAAAATCAATTTAAAATATATATATATATATCCTCTCAGGCTAGAGGATTTGGCCAGCGCTGGGATGTTGTGATATTTGAAATGTCCTACAGTCACTATAAAACAGCAAAGACCCCCAGACGTGCCCACGCCTGAGACGTGCGTCCCAGTAGACATGTGTCCTTGGCCTACGGGGGTCCCGCTGTGCTCGGCTCTGGGGTCCTGAGATCACACCGGTCTATGTGAGCGTGTCCTCAAGAGCAGGGCTTGAAAACCCAAAGCAGATGCAAGGATTCGGGGTTCACGCCGCTGCCCCCGACTTGGCAGACAGCTCCCAGCTCGCACGGCCGTCTGCTCCGAGCTCCTGCCTTCCTGTGTGCGCTGGGCCGGGGACTGTTCTCAGCTCCTGGGAGCTGCCCTGAGGTCCCTGCCCCATGACCGGCTCCCATCCTGGCAGCCTGGTCTTCAAGGACCGCAGGACACTGTCCTCGCTCTCATTGGCCAGCCCAGCGGAGTCTTACACAGTGACCTGTGGTCAGGAGGGTAGTGATGTCCCGTCCATTGAAAGCAACCCAGTCAAGGGACGGACATCCCAACCTCTTTGCCAGATGAGGGCACCCCAGCAAGGGGCCGACCTTCCGTCATTATGGCCATTTAAGGGAACCCAGTCAAGGGACGGACATCCCAACATCTGCCACGTTCTGTGGACGAGCAGCAGGTCCCAGGCCGCACCCCCACTCAGGAAGCGGGGTCATGACGGCGGGAGGTCGCTGGGCGCTGGGTTCATTCCCCACTCGACCCCTCTCTCCGTTCTCTCTGTCTGTCTTCCAGTGGAGTTTTTATACTGCGACCTGGGCTCCCTGAGGTCCGTCCGGGAATTTGTCTGCACGTTCAAGGAGAAGAAGCTTCCTCTGCACGTGCTGGTCAATAACGGTGAGTTCTGGTCAATTCCAGAGGTCGATTCCGATGCAATTACGAAACCCCTCAGTCCCCGTGAGAGAGCCGTTGGTGAAAGCAGAAATGCAACAGTCTCCGTGGCTTCATTTCATGCACACACTTGGCTCGTGTTATGGGCATAGTCAATTATATATATATATATATATATATAGTCAATTTTATAATTTTATAAATATATATATATATTATTTTATTTTTGGTACAGATGTTTCTCCTTTTTTTACCCCATTGACACTCACCTCCCCATCCCCCGCACCCCATCCTTGGCTTTGTTGTCCGTGTCCATCGGTTATGCGTACACGCATATACGTTCTGTGGTTTATCTCTTCCCTCCCCCCACCACCCCCTCTTCTGAGGGTTGTCAGTCTGTACCCCACTTCCACGTCTCTGGGTGCAACACTGTGTGCCATGGACATTTTGCCAAGGGCGTATTCGGAGCGTGCCGAGGGTATTTTCACACATGCCACCTTATTAAATTTCCATCACGCCCTCGTGAGAAGCATTTACGTCGGGGCCGGACACACGCTTGGCCCACTGTGTCCAGTTCTCCCTCACCATCTCCATCTCTGTGCGTCCGGGGCGAGCGATCCTGATCACACCCTCAAATGGGTGTCCGCAGACTTGCACACGCTGGACTGGAAGACCACATGGAAATATGGAAAGGAAGTCAGTCGTGAAATGGACACAGTGGCTAGAATAGACGTCCATCCATCATGGACAAGGGTAGTGTGAGTGCCCAAGACGGTCGTTGCGGGCCTGCAGGGTTCCCCAAATTGTCGCCCGGGCCCTTCCTCCAGGATAACCAACTCCCCCCAGAAAGGTGATCGGTGAACACAAGGTGGGTTCATGGGGCTCAGTTCTGTTCCCCAGTCACAGGCATCGAACCTCATGGATGCGCGCAGCGGCTGCAGCCCCAAATCAGGACTTCCACGGGGAGCTAAAGTTCATACTCCTGTTTTCTTTTGTTTGTATTCTTTTCTTTTTAAATTGAGTTGGTTGGGGTGACGTTGGTCAATACATGATATAGGTTCCAGGCGCACAGTTCTATCAAAATCTTCTGTACATTGTATGGTGTGCTCACCACCCCACGTCAAGTCTCCTTCCGTCACACCCCCCTTTACCCTTCCCTGCCCCCCACCCCCTTCCCTACGGGACTATTGTCTGTTTTTTGTTTGTCTTTTTTGTTCATATATTCCTTCCAGTTTTGTATCCCACACAGGACCGAGATCATATGCTTTCTGACTCTTCTCCGTCTTACCTGCTTCGCTTAGCACGAGACCCTTGAAGACAGGGTGTCGGACGTTTTGTCAACGGTCAGCATTCTAGACAGGAGCTATTGTGACCGTTGCTAGCGTGACGGACACACAACCAGACCCCCTCTTTCTGGCTGGGGAAGCTCCCACCCGAAGCTGGCGATCTCTCAATCCCAAGGATAATCAATAATCAATACCATGCGCGCGCACACCCGCAGGCTGGGGCACGGTTTGGTGTTTTTTCGCTCTGCGGTTTAATTCATCTAGTTCCTCCCCCTGTCACGCGCGTGCAGAGACCTTTAGTAAGTGCACAGGACATGCATGTCGTTTCTGTAGGATTTCTTCCCATAACCCCACCGGTTGCTGGTGGAGCCCAGGATGTCGGTGGATGTGCACCGGGAGTGATGATCTCTCGGCTGCTGTAAAAAAACACATTTCCCCAATGATGCTGAGCACATGGAGAATGTGCTCGGAGCACCTCGGATGATGTCCCGAGTCCCCTTGAACCCGCTCTTTGCCCAGAGCAAAACCACTGTCAAATTCTTGGAATCGGGGCCCGTGAGTTGTGCTACGACCTGACAGCCCATCTCGGACCGAACAGATATCCGTGTTGGCATGTCTCTCTCCCGGGGAAACCTTCTGCTTGTCAGGTGCGTGATCACTGGAAGGCACATAATAGGATCGGAATGAGCAGGGAATTGTAAGCCTTAAGGAGATTCAGCACTGGGTGCCCTTGAGCACCTGTCACCGTTGACCGGACCACCGCGGCCCCAGCGGAAACGGACGCTAATGGGTCCCGTGTTCAGACCCCCGGGTGCCATGAAAAGCCCGTGCCTTCAGCGAGGTTGGGCGGCCAGTCTCCGGGCTGTCTCTTCTGTTGCCCAAATGCAGCGAGACAAAGGCCAGCTCCAGAAGGGGCCCCGGCATCCCTCGTCCCTGGGCCAACAGGTCATCCTCAGCGCAGCAGAGGGAAGCCCCATGAACGAGGTCACACCCTCCACGTTGGCTGTACATTTCCACTGAGCCTCCCATCTCTGTCAGACCTGACGGAAACCTTGGGGTCCCACCAGCTGTGAGCACCCCAAAATTCCATCAGCAATCCTCATGGTGCCCCACATCCCCTTCCAACACCACCCCCCTCATTCCATCAAGCATTTGCAGCACATTTTGACATCATGTATTGGTTACTCCTTGATGCCATGACACAGGGATGCTTACCATGAAATTTAAAATTTAGGCATGCAACCCAGCTGCTGTGGCTCCGTGGCTGAGCGTCGACCCTGCACCAAGAGGTCACCAGTTCGATTCCCGGTCAGGGCACATGCCCAGGTTGTGGGCCCGATCCCCAGTGGGGGGCATGAAGGAGGCGGGCAGTCAATGTTCTCCCTTATCAATGTTTCCATCTCTCTCTCCCTCTCCCTCCCTCTCTTTCTAAAATCAAAAAAGAAAAAACAAAATTTAGGCACACAGCCCTGGCCAGTTTGACTCTGGATAGAGCATCAACCCATGGAGCGAATGGTCTCGGGTTCAATTCCCAGTCAAGGGCACATACCTGGCCTGCAGGTTTGATCCTCAGCCCTGGTCAGGGCCGTGCAGGAGGCAACCAATCAGCGTGTCTCTCTGACATCCATGTTTCTCTCTCTCCTCTGTCCCTTCCACCCTAAAAATCAATGTAAAATATCCTCAGGGGAGGAGTAACCAAACTAAAAAATATTTCGGCATGCAGCTAGTCCAGGGACTGCTACCCCCAATCCCAGGGAGTGGCAAATCACCATTTCATTTTGCAAGGTGTGGGCGCAGGAATTTGGACAGTTTGAGCCCCTAACGTAAAGGCCTGGGGCAGCCGTGCAGGACAGCTCCCCCAGTGGTGGGAGTCGGTACTACCCATTGTCAGGGCTCTACTGTGGTGGTCGACCAGATGTTCTCCTTGTGATTCTCAGACAAGAAGGCCCTGGGGGTGTTTGGCACATTTCCTTTCTGACCAGAAAGGTGACCTGGAAGCCAGAACCACACACCGTCTGTGGGATGACTCCCCCACCTTGCCTCACCTGACGCCCCCTGAATTTCCTCTGTCCCCAGCTGGCGTGATGATGGTCCCTCAGAATAAGACCGTGGACGGGTTTGAAAAACACTTTGGCTTGAACTACCTGGGACACTTTGTTCTGACCAACCTCCTCCTGGACACCCTCAAAGCATCGGGATGTCCCGGCCGCAGCGCCAGGGTGGTGACTGTGTCGTCGGCCACGCATTACGTCGGGAAGCTGGACATGGAGAACCTTCAGAGCAGGTTGGTGCTCACGCACGTCTGTCCTTACAGTCTCCCACCTGGTTCACGGTCACCTGTCCCTCCAGCCGCCGTAACACACTGGACACAGGGCTTCCTATCAAAGCACAGTATGCACCCTGGCCATTTTGACTCAGTGGTTAGATCATTGGCCCGTGGACCAGAGAGTCCCGGTTCCCACTAAGGGCATGCACCTCGTTTGCAGTTTGTCCCCGGCCCCAATTGGGGTCATGTGGGTGGGAACCAATCAATGCGTCTCTCTCGCATGGATGCTTCTTTCTGTCTCTTCCTCCCTCTCTCCCTCCTGCTCTATCTGAGGATAAATGCAGAAATGTCTTCGGGTGAGAATAAAAAAATAAAATAAAATAAACACCCCATGGAGACCCAGGAGGTGATTGCACGGGGACTTGGTGAGGGGCACAGGGGCAGGGGGCAGGGGGAAGACCGTGGACGCAGTCAGATTTCACGCCGGCTCCCTCTTTCCTTCGCAGCGGCTCCTACTCCCCGCACAACGCCTACGCCCAGAGCAAGCTGGCCCTGGTCCTGTTCAGCTACCACCTGCAGAAGCTGCTGGCTGCCCAGGGCAGTCACGTCACCGCCAACGTGGTGGACCCTGGGGTGGTGAACACAAACCTCTACAAGCATGTCTTCTGGGGCACACGTCTGTTCAAGAAGCTGTTTGCCTGGTGGTTTTTCAAGGTGAGCCTCCAAGCAGCCACGGGTCATTTCTGCGTCCATGATCGAACCCGTGTGGTGGCCCCTTGAGGCCACTTGTACGGTGTTGGATGCAACAGCCGCAAAGGGGAAGGATGTGCTGTGTCCCCTTCATGTCCCTGTAGCCGAGGTGAGAAGGTGGCCACAGACTTGGACATGCATACACGTCTTGGTCTTTTTCTACAAAGGAGCAAATAGGTTAGAGGCAGAGAAGAGGCAAGAGCATCCGATGCCCCGGCCTACAGACTGCTGACACCTGGACTGCATGGCGGCAGGGCCTGGCGTCCGGCTGCAGCTGTCCGGAGTGCAGGGGGCGCTGGACGGGGGTCAGACCCAGGAGATTGTTTTAAAAACGACTCCAGAGATAAAACCCAGGCAGCGTCTGTTGTTGGCGACGGGGATTAAAAGAGGAAAGGCTCAAAGGGGTCTCACTTGAGAAATTGGGGGGTCAGGGTGGCACCTGTCCAAGACGGGGGAACGGGGCACATGCCCAGGTACGTGTTTGGGGATGGTTGACCTTGAGGTGTGAGTGGAGGGTCTCCAGTGCCAGAGGGCAGCTGGGCCCCCACGAACACATCTGTGGCTCAGAGGAGGTCCTTTCGAAGGGGAGGGCGTGGCCCCAGTGATGGGTCCATGAGGGGAAGGGGGGACATGGAGGTCCCTGGAAAACCAAGGTGAGACCAATCCTCAAGAGTTCCCGCTCATTCATGTCCTCCGTGTGCTGTGCCTTCAATTCTGCAGGCTGTTAATGCTGGGTGTTAATATCCCCTAACAAAGCGTTACCCCAATGGACCCTATCTAATCCTGTGGTTGTAAGACTCCTTTCTCAACTTCCAGTTGCTTACTGCTTGCGGCCATGCCCAGCACACGTTGAAATCCCACTTGGATTCTGTTTCGGTGGCTATGTATTGTGTGTGTGTCTTTCCAGTGCCCTGGTGCACCTCCGACAACCGCACCCCGCCTGTTCTACACCCCAGGGCATCGGGCCTGTTTCCAAAATTTTCTTCGTTTGCCCACAAGAGGCCAGAACACAGGGTGAAGCTGGTCACTCCCAGGGGGACAGTTGCGACACACCCTTTGGGATGTGGCAGGGGGTAAACTGAGTCTGCAGAAACCAGTCCATGTAGACAACAGGGGGCAGTAGCCCCGGCCAGAAACCTTTTTTTTTTTTCTTTCCTCATCAACATTATAAGAAAACAGCGTTATTGGAATACCTCATGTGTATACCACTCTCTTGAGTTCTGTGCATCTCTCTCCTGGACTGTCCCACTGGAGGGGGTCCTGGGAACCCCACAATCTGTCATCCGTGGGGCAGAAGTGTAGCGCGGAGCTGCGGACCCCAGACACATGCGGGTGACATCCTGAACGGGGCGGTGGGCGGTCCTGGAATCCAAACACAAGAAGCCTGGGAGACGGGGGACTTCAACGTTCATTTTAGTAAAACACGCTCGACCTGTCCGCCAAATGTGGGAGCCGGGTTCCGTTTAGGTAAATGAGTTATTTGTATGTTTTTGCAAAGGGCGCTGGTTGCTCGATGCACCAGGGAAAATGTTTCGAGAAGGAGCAGGGACACGCGCCTCGGTGGGTCCCCCCTTGTGGGTTCATAAGAGTTGGGATGTTGGGGGGAAGCTGAGACAGACACAGGAAGGTTAGTAAACATTGGAAACCGCTACCCAGAGGAGCTGCTACGAGCCCCCGGAACCTCTGTGGGATTCTTGCCCTCGCGGGTGTATCGGAGCATCACCGTGTGTGCAGACACCCACACGACGTCTGTCTCCGTGAGCAAAAGAGCATTTTATCCTCCTCGGTCTCAGAGAAACAAAATTTCATGTGAAGCAAAAAAAAAAAAAGCTAATTGAATTTTGTAGAGAGGGACACAGAGCTGAATGAAATGAAAAGTCATCCCCCAAAGGCACAGAGCCCCGCGTGGGGACGTCCTCCTCGCCCTTGGTACTCACCCCTCCCTGGGGTCACCCTCCCCCTGGACCCAAACACACACACTCACTCACACACACAGATACACACACACACGCATACACACTCAGACACACAGGCACACTCACATACACTAACACATACACACACTCACACACAGATACACACATACACACTCACATACATACTCAGACACGTACACACACTCACACACACACAGACACTCATACACACACTCACATACATACACTCACACAAATACACATACTCTCACACACATTCATACACACACATATATACACACACACACATACACACTCAGACACACATACACTAACATATACACACAGTCAGACACACATACAGATACACACAGACACACTCACATACATACTCAGACACATACACTCATACGCATACACACTCACATACAAATACACACACAGACACACACAGACACACACTCACATACATACACTCACACACATATACACACACACATACACTCACACAAATACACATACTCTCACACACATTCATACACACACTTATATACACACACATACACACTCAGACACACATACACTAACATATACACACAGTCAGACACACACACAGATACACACAGACACACTCACATACATACTCAGACACATACACACACACACAGACACACACTCACACACACACACACAGGAGCCCAGGGTTTCCTTTAACCCATGTTTCACTCTCCAGAGCCTTGTAAACCCCTGAGCTGCCCCCAGAGCTGACTGAGATGCCCTAGGTCCTCCAGGCCACGCCATGGCCTCCGTACAGCCCGGCGCCACCTTGCTGCCTGGGTGGGACCCAGGGATGTCAAAGGAGCCACCCTCGGCCATTTCCCATCATTCACTTTAAGTGTCCTGGGAAGGTCGGTACGCGGTGTGCACAGGAGGTTGCTTGCTGAGACGGTTGTCCTCGTACTGACATATGCTTTAAAAATCCCAGGCTCCGATGTCCTGGTCGGTCTGGCTCAGCGGTGAGAGCGTCGGCCCGCGGACCAGAGAGTCCCGGGTTCGGTTCCCGCTAAGAGCACATACCTCGGTTGCAGTTTGTCCCCGGCCCCAGTTGGAGTTGTGTGGGTGGCAGCCCCTCAATGTGTCTCTCTCACATGCATGTTTCTCTCTCTCTCCCCCCCCCTTCCCTCCTGCTCTCTGAAGATACATGCAAAAATGTCCTCGGGTGAGGATAGAAAAAAAAAATCCCAGGCTCTACACCCGACCCAAGTACTGTGGTTTAAAAAACAGTTTGGGGTTCACATCTCCACGTTCTTCAGCATAACGGCCTGGGTGACATTTGTCATGACCACTTTGAGTAGGTCAGCCTCCAGAAACCCTGCCGCTTGGGTTGCCTTGGCTCTGGCGATGATCCCTGTCGTCTGTGACTTACACCAGACAGTCCAAGGTTGGTCCGTTGAGCCGATTTGGATTTACAAAAGTTGATCACAAACGAGAAGCTCCTGAAAGTCATGATCCCAATCATAAGCTGCTAAGAGTAAAGTCTAGTGTTTTCTGGATATTGAATCACAGTCATGATGACCCTGAGGTTCCCACCATTTCTAATCCTCTGAATTTCTCCTCCTGTCTCTCCGGTGGCCCTGGGTGTTTTTCTCCAACTGACCAGCTCAAGGGCCAACTCCAACACGCTGCCTTCTGCCTTCACACATCCCTGCATTTCAAGCTACTCTTTGAATTCTCTTCTCCCCGAGCATGTCGCTGGAGCCCTCACAGGCTCCAGTCCCCCGATGACACTCACCTCGCGTCACCAAAACCACGAATCTCTCAGCGGTGACCACGTTGTATCAAATTGCTCCCTATTACTGATCAAGCACGGAGGCTGAGCACACACCGCCTCTGAGCCAATTCTGTTTCCGTTTCACAAGTCGTTAAAGTGAATATTGACATCCGGGATTTTTCTATGCGTCTTCCTATCAAAACGAGTGAACCCACCCAGCCGGTGTGGCTCACTGGTTGAGCACTGTCCATGCACCAGGAGGTCGCCCGTTCGATTCCCGGTCCAGACACAGGCCCAGGTTGTGAGCTCGATCCCCCGTAGGGGGCGTGCAGGAGGCGGCCGATCGATGTTTCGCTCTCTCATCACCGTTTCTCTCTCTCTCTCCCTCTCCCTTCCTTTGTCTGAAATCAACAAAAGCATATTGTTTTAAAAGTTCGTTTTTTAAAAAATGAAGCAAACATGGAAATCTGACCCACGTAAGACTGTGCTCCTGTTGGCTTGGGTTGAAAAGAAAACCCACCCCGGAGCTGAGGCGTGGCGAGGTGACTCATCTGGGCTCCCGGCATGGGTTTGTGGACCCGGGGATGGTTCTGTGTCTTTGCCACCAGCATCGTATGCGTCGAGAACCCTGTGCTCTGCTCCAAACATCAGTATGTTCCGCTTTTCTCTTCTCCCCACAGACCGTGGATGAAGGAGCCTGGACGTCGGTCTATGCGGCCGTTACCCCGGACCTGGAGGGCGTGGGTGGCCTCTACCTTTACAATGAGAAAAAGACCCAGTCACTAGCGGTCACTTACGACCTAGAGCTGCAGGAACAGCTCTGGGCCAGAAGTTGCCAGATGACCGGCATCGTTGACGTGACCCGGGACGTCTTCTCAGGGTAGCTGCCCCGTCGGGAGGACGTCTCACGGGGTCCACCACTCACGGGTCTGTGAAAGATCGCACCGGCCTCATTCACTCACACTCTGTTGCCAAAACGTCAAGCCTTTCGGGATGCCAAGGAGCAAGAGGAAGGTGGAGGGTGACCCTGAGCCGCTGGGCCTCCCCCATCCGTCTTGTGATTCCAAAGTGTCCAATTATTCCAGATGCCATGAATCATTAAACTCTGCCACCTGAGTGTCCGGCTCTCCTTGCTTGGCACAGAGAAGACAAGGGGGTTGGGGAGAAATGGTCCCTGAGAGATGAATGGTTTCAGGAGAGCAGCCGCTGCTGGGAGACCAGGGCTCCGGGTGTCCCTGTGTTTGTTCCACCCACACGACTCATTGTGCTCGAGACAGGGCTTGGACGTGTGCGTCCTCAAAAGACACAGACACGAGCCTCACTCAGCACGTTGGTCAAGGTTGGTGCGAGCCATCGTCCACTGTCCCATCTTCAGAGTGGCCTGTCCGCAGGGGCCACCTGCCACTCTCAGACCTACTTGCACAACCTCAGGCCCATGAGTCGTGCAGACATAGTACTAGACCTGATGGGATGAGGTGGGGCAGGGAGAGGGACCAGTCACACTCACCGTGGGGCTCTGTGGGACAAGGACAGGGACCAGTCACCACTCACCGTGGGGTTCTGTAGGACAGGGACAGAGAGAGGGACCTGTCACCACTCACCATGGGGTTCTGTAGGACAGGGACAGAGAGAGGGACCTGTCACCACTCACCATGGGGTTCTGTAGGACAGGGACAGAGAGAGGGACCTGTCACCACTCACCATGGGGTTCTGTAGGACAGGGACAGAGAGAGGGACCTGTCACCACTCACCATGGGGTTCTGTAGGACAGGGACAGAGAGAGGGACCTGTCACCACTCACCATGGGGTTCTGTAGGACAGGGACAGAGAGAGGGACCTGTCACCACTCACCGTGGGGCTCTGTAGGACAGGGACAGAGAGAGGGACCAGTCACCACTCACCATGGGGTTCTGTAGGACAGGGACAGAGAGAGGGACCAGTCACCACTCACCATGGGGTTCTGTAGGACAGGGACAGAGAGAGGGACCTGTCACCACTCACCGTGGGGTTCTGTAGGACAGGGACAGGGACCAGTCACCACTCACCATGGGGTTCTGTAGGACAGGGACAGAGAGAGGGACCTGTCACCACTCACCGTGGGGTTCTGTAGGACAGGGACAGAGAGAGGGACCTGTCACCACTCACCGTGGGGCTCTGTAGGACAGGGACAGGGACCAGTCACCACTCACCATGGGGTTCTGTAGGACAGGGACAGAGAGAGGGACCAGTCACCACTCACCATGGGGTTCTGTAGGACAGGGACAGAGAGAGAGACCTTTCACCACTCACTGTGGGGTTCTGTAGGACAGGGACAGGGACCAGTCACCACTCACCATGGGGTTCTGTAGGACAGGGACAGGGGGAGGGACCTGTCACCACTCACCATGGGGTTCTGTAGGACAGGGACAGGGGGAGGGACCTGTCACCACTCACCATGGGGTTCTGTAGGACAGGGACAGGGGGAGGGACCTGTCACCACTCACCATGGGGTTCTGTAGGACAGGGACAGGGGGAGGGACCTGTCACCACTCACCATGGGGTTCTGTAGGACTGGGACAGGGGGAGGGACCTGTCACCACTCACCGTGGGGTTCTGTAGGACAGGGACAGGGACCAGTCACCACTCACCGTGGGGTTCTGTAGGACAGGGACAGAGAGAGGGACCTGTCACCACTCACCATGGGGTTCTGTAGGACAGGGACAGAGAGAGGGACCTGTCACCACTCACCATGGGGTTCTGTAGGACAGGGACACAGAGAGGGACCTGTCACCACTCACCATGGGGTTCTGTAGGACAGGGACAGAGAGAGGGACCTGTCACCACTCACCATGGGGTTCTGTAGGACAGGGACAGAGAGAGGGACCTGTCACCACTCACCATGGGGTTCTGTAGGACAGGGACAGAGAGAGGGACCTGTCACCACTCACCGTGGGGCTCTGTAGGACAGGGACAGAGAGAGGGACCAGTCACCACTCACCATGGGGTTCTGTAGGACAGGGACAGAGAGAGGGACCAGTCACCACTCACCATGGGGTTCTGTAGGACAGGGACAGAGAGAGGGACCTGTCACCACTCACCGTGGGGTTCTGTAGGACAGGGACAGGGACCAGTCACCACTCACCATGGGGTTCTGTAGGACAGGGACAGAGAGAGGGACCTGTCACCACTCACCGTGGGGTTCTGTAGGACAGGGACAGAGAGAGGGACCTGTCACCACTCACCGTGGGGCTCTGTAGGACAGGGACAGGGACCAGTCACCACTCACCATGGGGTTCTGTAGGACAGGGACAGAGAGAGGGACCAGTCACCACTCACCATGGGGTTCTGTAGGACAGGGACAGAGAGAGGGACCTTTCACCACTCACTGTGGGGTTCTGTAGGACAGGGACAGGGACCAGTCACCACTCACCATGGGGTTCTGTAGGACAGGGACAGGGGGAGGGACCTGTCACCACTCACCATGGGGTTCTGTAGGACAGGGACAGGGGGAGGGACCTGTCACCACTCACCATGGGGTTCTGTAGGACAGGGACAGGGGGAGGGACCTGTCACCACTCACCATGGGGTTCTGTAGACAGGGACAGAGAGAGGGACCTTTCACCACTCACTGTGGGGTTCTGTAGGACAGGGACAGGGACCAGTCACCACTCACCATGGGGTTCTGTAGGACAGGGACAGGGGGAGGGACCTGTCACCACTCACCATGGGGTTCTGTAGGACAGGGACAGGGGGAGGGACCTGTCACCACTCACCATGGGGTTCTGTAGGACAGGGACAGGGGGAGGGACCTGTCACCACTCACCATGGGGTTCTGTAGGACAGGGACAGGGACAGGGACCAGTCACCACTCACCATGGGGTTCTGTAGGACAGGGACAGGGGGAGGGACCTGTCACCACTCACCATGGGGTTCTGTAGGACAGGGACAGGGACAGGGACCAGTCACCACTCACCATGGGGTTCTGTAGGACAGGGACAGGGGGAGGGACCTGTCACCACTCACCATGGGGTTCTGTAGGACAGGGACAGGGACAGGGACCAGTCACCACTCACCATGGGGTTCTGTAGGACAGGGACAGGGGGAGGGACCTGTCACCACTCACCATGGGGTTCTGTAGGACAGGGACAGGGGGAGGGACCTGTCACCACTCACCATGGGGTTCTGTAGGACAGGGACAGGGACAGGGACCAGTCACCACTCACCATGGGGTTCTGTAGGACAGGGACAGGGACAGGGACCAGTCACCACTCACCATGGGGTTCTGTAGGACAGGGACAGGGACCTGTCACCACTCACCATGGGGTTCTGTAGGACAGGGACAGGGGGAGGGACCTGTCACCACTCACCATGGGGTTCTGTAGGACAGGGACAGGGGGAGGGACCTGTCACCACTCACCATGGGGTTCTGTAGGACAGGGATAGGGACAGGGACCAGTCACCACTCACCATGGGGTTCTGTAGGACAGGGACAGGGGGAGGGACCTGTCACCACTCACCATGGGGTTCTGTAGGACAGGGACAGGGGGAGGGACCTGTCACCACTCACCATGGGGTTCTGTAGGACAGGGACAGGGGGAGGGACTTGTCACCACTCACCATGGGGTTCTGTAGGACAGGGACAGGGACCAGTCACCACTCACCATGGGGTTCTGTAGGACAGGGACAGGGACAGGGACCAGTCACCACTCACCGTGGGGTTCTGTAGGACAGGGACAGGGGGAGGGACTTGTCACCACTCACCGTGGGGTTCTGTAGGACAGGGACAGGGACCAGTCACCACTCACCGTGGGGTTCTGTAGGACAGGGACAGGGGGAGGGACCTGTCACCACTCACCATGGGGTTCTGTAGGACAGGGACAGGGGGAGGGACCTGTCACCACTCACCATGGGGTTCTGTAGGACAGGGACAGGGGGAGGGACTTGTCACCACTCACCGTGGGGTTCTGTAGGACAGGGACAGGGACCAGTCACCACTCACCATGGGGTTCTGTAGGACAGGGACAGAGAGAGGGACCTGTCACCACTCACCACGGGGTTCTGTAGGACAGGGGCAAGGTTATTCCTGAACTAATACCTTCCCCATAAACCCTGTGTATCTTCATCATGGAGAACTCAACCCCCGGTCCCTCACAGGTCACCCTCTATTCCCAGGGAGAAGAAGAAGAGTTAGGAGGTCCAGGTTTTATCCCATTAGCTTCTAATGTGTATTCAATGGTGGTCTCCGTAAAAGAGATGTCTGCACCCTAACCCCTAGAACCTGTCGATGTGGTTTAATTTGGAGAACGGAGTCTTTACAGATGTAATTTTGACCTTAAGATGAGCAGAGAATCCTGGCTTGTTCAGAGAGGCCCAATGTCATCAATAGTTTTCTTATAAGAGACAGAGGAGGAGACAGAGACACACAGAAGAAGCCCCGTGTGGACGGAGGGAGAGATGGAAATAATGACACCGTCAGCCCTGGGACACCTGGATCTCAGATGTCTGGTCTCCAGGACGGGGGAGGATGAAGTCCTGTGGTTTTGAGCCACCAACACAATGATCGTAATTTGTCACAGGAAACTTACAGTTTCTGGACATTTTAGGCCATCCTGTGGGCACTTTCCTTGGCATCAGGATCCAACCTTCCTCACCCACCAGCTGGTCAAGGAAGGCTCAATGCTCTTCTGAGGGAGATACTGGACACCCAACGTCCAGCATGGACAGACGAGCCTTTCGAAATGCTACTGAGATGAGACTCTGGGTCCTGCTGGACTGCACCCTGAATTTCCCAACCAGCGGCCTCTCCGCACCTACCTGTCCATTCTGTTCATTGACAGAACCCCACAAAAAAACAAACGGCGCTTTGGAATGTCAGCCAGCAGCTCTCCGTTGGGGTTCACAAGCGAAGTTGGGGTGGCGCGTCACTACTGAGCAGCAGCATCCCCAGCCGTCATTCTGGGATGAGAGGGTCTTTCAATGGCCACTTAAGGACATGTGACGGACTCACTGGTCATGTTGGGGGTACTTGAGAAGACCAGTCATGGGTTTTCTTTCAGCCTCATGCACCTGAGAGATGGTGCTCTTCTTGGTGAATGTGGTAAACGCAAATCTAATGGATATCTAATCAACAAC